GGATGGGAAACGAGCTGGAAAAATGCCCTTTGCCTTCCCCCCCCCCTCCACATTCCCAAGGAATTCCCAGCCCCCACCCCCCCCAAACCTATGGAGAATTCCAATCATGTCGTTATTCCTTTATTCCTTTATTCCTTTATTCAGTTATTCCATGATTTCCTTGGATAATCCAACTTGGTTTTACTCTTCGGGATGGCAAATCCTGTTCCCAAATGCCCTCTGTGTCCCCCCTCCACATTCCCAAGGAATTCCCAGCCCCCCCAAACCTGTGGAGAATCCCAGCCATGCTGTTATTCCACTATTCCTTTATTCCATGATTTCCTTGGATAACCCGCTTCGGTTTTCCTTTGGGGAATGGAAAATCCTATTCCCAAGCGGCTTCCAGACCCCAATCCGTGGAAAAAAAGCTGGAAATTAAGGTGCCAGGCCGTGGGGGAGGAAAATTCCAAGGTTTGGGATAAAACCCCGGGATGGGGCTGGAATTGCTCCGATTTTCCAACCTTCTGGTTTTCCTGGGAAGGGCAGAGATTGGCTCCTTGGATCCCAGAGCAATTCCAGATGGGATGGGGTGGGATGGGATGGGATGGGATACAGGGATGGGATACAGGGATGGGATGGGATACAGGGATGGGATGGGATGCCCTAAAAAACAAATTATCCCCTGGGATAAAGAATCCATAAATTATTATTCCCTGGGATATTCCCACTTGGAAACCCCCCCCATCCCCGATCTGTCCCCAGAGTTGTGTCCCAACAGAATTCCCTGGAAAAACCAACACCACCCCCATCTCCCAGGAGGCCAAGAGGGAGGATCTGGGGAGACCCCACGGGTGGGTCAGGCCTGGAATTCTGGAATCCCTCCCGGTGGGAATGTTGGGGGCCCGATCCCGGGGAGCTCTGGCAGCCCCCCCCCCCCCCCCCCCCCCCCCCCCCCCCCCCCCCCCCCCCCCCCCCCCCCCCCCCCCCCCCCCCCCCCCCCCCCCCCCCCCCCCCCCATCATTCCCAGCTTCCTGCCATTCCCATGGAAACCGCGGATCCCAACGCCATGGCAACCCCCCTGGAAACGGCGCGGGCTGTGCCGCCGCTTCCCACAAATCCGGAGGCGGGAGAGGCCGGGAATGCTGAGCCTGGAGAGCTCCTCGTGCTCCGGGGGGGCCACCCGGAGCAATTCCAAGAATTCCCGCGGCGGCTCCGGAGGGGGGAAATGTCCCGTTGCCTGAGGGGGCTGGAATGGTTATCCCGGAATTCCTGCCCTGCTTTCCCGGGGGTCTGTCCGGCTGCTCCGTGTCCAGCCTGGATCCAGCACGGGCAGCCCCGCCAGAGGGTTCCTGTTTCCCCAGGATCAGCATTCCAGCGGAACTGAGGGATTTGGGAATGTTCCCGACCCTTGGGCTGAGCGAACCCCGCGGTGGCTGGAGCCGGGATCGAGCTCGGGATGGCCGGGATGGGCAGGGAATGTCCTGAGGGAACAATCCCAGGGATCATCCAGGGGCAGCCACAGCTTCCCTGGGAATTCCAGCCCAGCCGGGAATCCCTTCCCAATCTCCCCTTTCCCAGTGGGAAGCCATTCCCTGTGTCCTTCCAGTCATTGCAGGCCCTGATCCCAAATCCCTCTCCA